CATGTGTAGACATGTGCATATTTATATATCAACAAAAAGTCAGCACTTTTGCTCCTTTTAACTGTATTATCACATGACTGGATGAAACTAGGTGCTGACCAGGCTTAAACAATTCTTATTTTTTCCTAAGTAAGTGTCCTAGTTAGTTTTTATTGTCAACTTGACACAATCTGGAGTTATTAGGGAAGATGGAGCCGCAACTAAGAAATTTCCCTGATCGGGTCATCCTGTGGGCATGTCTGTGGAGGACGTCCTGGTTGATGATTGATGTGGGAGAACACAGTCCACTGTGAGCTGTGAGCCCACCATCCCTAGGCAGGTGGTCCTGGGCTGTACAAGAAAGCAAGCTAAGTATGAGCCTGTGAATGGCCAGCAAGCAGCATCCTCCGTGGTTTATGTGTTAGGCCCTTCTTAAAGTTCCTGCCCTGACTTCCCTCAGTGACCTGTAAGGTAGAATAAACCCTTTCTTCCCCTAATTTGCTTCCGGTCAGAGTGTTTTATCATAGCATGAAACTAGAGCAGTGAATCAGACATCTTTCTGTGCATTTCACGGTACTAATATTTGTATTTTATAATGTATTTCATAAGCAAATAATGATAAATAATGATTCAATAATGATAGTTTTCAAAGTAATACTCTCTAGTACACAGAAACTTTCAGGGCCAGAAAGTTCGTAACCTAGTGTGATATATACCATGTAGTGGTCCCTCAGGGAAACTTTGTTGAATGAAAAAATTAATGAATGAATATTAATTTCTCATATAAATTTTAAGAGAAAATAGTAAATGAGGAGACAGGAAACAGCCCAGGTTTCAGGCCGGCTTTGGCTCATGGGTCTCGTCTGTCTGTCTGTCTGTCTGTGCTCTCAGCAGTGGCCCTTTACTGCTGCTCCTGGGAGTTGGTGTGATGCATGGTGGTCCTTCTAGATGCTCTTTCATGATTGATGTAAAGCATAAAGCACCTACTAGGTGCCCTTTTATTTGTATTCATGGTAAAGGGCATAAAAGAAACTCATTTTTCCTCTGAGATTTTACAAATATTTTTAATTTATTTTTATTTTATGTGTGTGTGTCTTGCCTGCATGTATGTAAATGTACCACATATATACAATGCCTACACAGGCCAGGAGAGGGCATCAGATCTCCTGGAACTGGAGTTACAGGTGGTTGTTAGCTGTCATGTGAGCACTGGGAACCGAACCCAGGTCCTCTTCAAGATCAGCTGTTGCTTTTAACTGCTACGCCATCTCTCCAGCCCCTTCTGTGATGATGTTTTAATGTTTTCATTTGTTCTTATAACCATGTAGCAGCGGGTCTCATTGTCACAGAGGAAATGTGGGGTGTCTTTTTGACAGAGGCCTGTCCTCTGGTCTCAGGTGGGCTTTACCTGGGGAGTTAGAGTACTGGATGCTCACAGTCACAAAACTTCCACTAGGTCACAGGTCCCTGAGTTCTTTTCTCAAGAAACGGAAGAATGAAATTCACAGACCATAGAGGGTGAGTTTAGACTCATAAGTAGTAGTTTAAGAGAGAGAAAAGGAACTCCCTCGAGCTGCTTATCTGGGACCTTTTTAGAGAACTTGTGGCAGAAACTGGGTAAAGCGTAAGGAAGGGGATGAGCAGGTCAGTCCAGCCGGGCAAGCTAGGAAGTGTCCAGGTCTCCAGTTCTAGCCAGCTTCCAACATTAGCTTCCAGGGTTAGCCAACAAGGAACCAATCAGAGCTCTTCCAGCTCTCCTGGACACCACCAAGGACATTTCTGCTACCCCGGGGTCCCTACCGTATATGACCAGTCTCTCTCTCTTTCCTCATCAATGAGGACATTTTCATGCACGTGTATGATGCACTTTCATGCATGTGTATGATGCAATTTTATCATAACCACCACTTTTAACCTCTTGTGACTCTGCTAATCAACTTTCTCTTGATGACTTGTTCCCCTCAACTTTGATGCCTCTTCGTTGTGACCTGGTGGATTTTGTTAGGATTGCTTACAGGAGCATGTGTGAGGGACTAAAGAATCATGGGTACCTTACTGGTGACTGCATCACTGAAGAAAATGTCACTCCCCCCTCCAGTGACCCATTAACTGCCTACGACTGCCAGGGAGAGGTTGGAGCTTGTGAACCCCTCCTCTCTCCATGACAGGATGTTGACAGGCCCAACCTTGTCTAGGTCTTGTGCATGCAATCACAGCTACTCTAAGTTCAGGAGTGCAAGAGCCATGTCGTGTCTGGAAGACGGTGTTCCACAGCACTCTACCCCATCTTCTGATCGTGCATGGTTTCTAGCACCTCTGCTATGATGTTCCCTGAGCCTTGGATGGGGGATATACATGTCCCATTCAACAGTCAGTTATTGGTGAGGTTGTTTTTAGCTAAGACTTTTCAACTTAATCTTCAAGTGATCAGAGAATTTTGTTTATTAATTAAACTGCCACTGGGGAACTCTGATTAATTAAAATTAGGTTGCAATTAACAAAACCTTTTTTTAAAAAAAAAACATTGGATCACTTTGCATATGACGAAGTTATTAAAACTGATATTGGAGATAAACATCCTAACTTCTCAATGGGAGTGTTCATGTTCAGGGGAAATTCAGAGACTTTTCTGAATTCCTGGCTGGAACTTGAACCCCATTCTTGTATCTCAGCACTAAAAAAAAACATTGGATCACTTTGCATATGACGAAGTTATTAAAACTGATATTGGAGATAAACATCCTAACTTCTCAATGGGAGTGTTCATGTTCAGGGGAAATTCAGAGACTTTTCTGAATTCCTGGCTGGAACTTGAACCCCATTCTTGTATCTCAGCACAGTAGGGCTATCCTTACAGTCGCCTGGTCAAATGGTGAACTGAAAGGTATCCCTAAACAAATATCACCTTAGTCTTTTGGCTATTAACCTGATTCCATTTGGAACTGTTGTTTGGTTAAATACATTGGAATTCAAAAAAATTAATTTCATCATAGATTTATTGAACCATTGAGATTTCCAGGGTTCCAGTAACAGAAAAAAAGCAAACACACATTCATGTCTTTGACAAGTTCACATGTGACAAATCAAAGCTGAGTGGAGGAGAGGCTTAGGAGAGAAACGGACAGAGGCCAGGTGCCACTGCATTCAAATAAGTAAAACAAGGTTCCATCATTCATGTCTTTGACAAGTTCACATGTGACAAATCAAAGCTGAGTGGAGGAAAGGCTTAGGAGAGAAACGGACAGAGGCCAGGTGCCCACTGCATTCAAATAAGTAAAACAAGGTTCCACGGAGAGGGTGTCATGTGAATATGAACACTGAGGGGTGGGTGAGCTACGAACACATGGAAACTGGAGATGAAGAAGGAATTCTGTGTGCTTCAGGTACAGAAAACAATGGGCCATATTTTGACAAGAATAATCCATCCACTGGGTGTGATGGCACGCTCCTGTAATTCTAGCACTTGGGAGGCTGAGTTAGGAAGGTCATGTGTTTGAGGCCAGCCTGGGTTATATTCTAAAATGCTGTCTCCTCCTGTCTCGCAGAGAACAAGTAATCCAGTTTAAATGGAGCATTTACCACTTGTAATGGAAGATGAGTCTGAGAAGCGATGTTGCCTGTGTTATATGTATGCAGAACCCTTGATTGGTCATGAAGGACTGTGTAGGTAAAAGTCACAGGCTTGAGATCAGTAGCCGACATTTAACTTGTCTCTGTTCCAAGGCAGTAGGCCCTGTGTCTGCCTTTAGAAATCCAGGTCTGGACCAAATGATGAAAATGGCTGTTTCTGTCTGTGACAAGTAGGTCTTTCAGTTCAGTCTGCAGATCCAGCTCCCTTCCTTTTTCCTTTCTTCTCTGAGTGGAACTTGTATTGCATCCTGTTTCCAGTGAAGGATGGCTGGTGATGACTTGGGGACTGGGCGGGGGAGGCAGTAGTTCTAAGATGGAGTCCTGTGTTATCAGGGCTTCCAGACTCTAGGGCATTATGCTCTGTCAGTGTGATGCCCAGTCTTCATTGTCACCTTGATGGATTTGAGGTCACCTAGGAGACATACTTCCAGGCATGTCTGCGTGGTGTTTCCAGAGAGGTTTGACTGGGGAGGGAAGGCCTCTTCCTCATCCCCTGCCTACATGTCCGTGACACCATTACATACGCTGGGATGCAGGGGACAGGAAAAGACCAGCTGAGCACCAGCATCATCTCTCTCTGCTTCTTGAGTGTGGACACGCCATGGCCAGGGCCTCCTCATGCTCCTGCCACCATGTCTTTCCCACCATGATGGACTGTACCCTTAAATAATGAGATCAAAGAAGCCCTTACTTCCTAAGTTTCTTTTTGTCTCAGATATTTGGTCACATCATTGAAAAGAGTAGCTAATACATTTGGTATGTGGGATGCTGGGGTAAACAGGTCCCTGTGGAGGAATGCTGGTGTGGGCTTCTCAGATCATAAGGAGACTAGCACCTGCCTGTCTCCTTCCTGTGGCTATCAGGGACACCCCGGCAGTTTCTAGTCCTCGGATCTTTCCATGAATGGGCGCTATGGTTCTCAACCCTGTTGCCTTCCTGAATAGCCAGGGTCCATGAGGCAGGAAAGTGAAAAGATGAGTAAGCCAGGAAGCTCTTCAGTGGAGACCTAGAACGGAGTCTGACTTTTCACGTTTGTTAAAAAGTAATGGCTAGAAGCAGGTGTATGACTTCTAAGAGCCATTTGACCTCCGAAACACCACAGGAGGAGGCAGGAAACTACAGGAAGCCCCTCTGTGCAATTCCAAGGCTTAGAGGAATGTGACCTCACAACCCTAGGCCTCCTAAACGTGGCCCTCTGGTAACCCTTCTCACAATGCCTGCCCAGTGCAGGGGACTGTGGAGAGGTGCAAGTTGTAGATGGGTGACAGACAAGGCAAACGGGGGCCTGCGTCCTCAGTCAGATCCACAAGGCGACATTGTGTCAGGAAGATGTTCCTCTGGGTGGATGTCCCCTGAGGCTGATCCTGGCAGTGCCTCCATCTGCAGGAAGGAGAGATCACATTCCGGAAGGCTGCACGGAAGCGGCGGGACAGGAGGTTATAGATAATGGGGTTGACAGCCGAGCTCAAATAGAAGAAGACACCTGGAAATGGATTAAAAAGGAGAGGAGACACTGAGAGATAGGCACAGCAGGCTACAGCATGAACAGGTAGCAAAGGCCCACCATCCAGGTGAGCTCCTGTGATGGCCTCTTTTGGACACAATGATAAGTACAAGCCATTAACTGGGAATGCAACATGTGTGAATCAGATCTACTGTATGTGCTCTCAGGAGTCAAACACAGAAAGATCAAAGAGCCTTGGAGTGATGTAGAGAAGGATCCTCTGAGATGTTGGGCAAGGCCGTCATCCTTCCTTGTTTAATTACAGAACGTGTTCTTGTGTCACTGATGCTTAAGGATCAGAGAAAAGAGATTATTTTTCTCAATGGACTTTTAAAACTGTAACTCAAAACCACAAGTCCTGAAGTAAAGGTAAATCATTAATTCTCAGTCCCTGCTGAGATTCCTCACCCTCCTAAAAAAACTCTTAGCCCCCAGTGACCCTCCCTTCCATCACACCAAATTATTATATTTTTGTCACTTATTTTGTCCAACAGATGGCTTGTTTATTACCTTCCCATTGTTTTACACTTACTCTTTTAAAAAGATTTATTTTGTGTGTGTGTTGTGTGTGTGTTGTGTGTGTGTGTGTGTGTGTGTGTGTATGTACAAATGCAAATGCAGCTGCCCCTGGAGGTCTCTTGTTGGATCTTTGGAGTTACAGGCAGTTGTGCGCTGGTCAACATGGGCCTTGGGAACTGAGCTCAGGTCTTTTGCAGGAACAATACATATACTCTTGACTGCTGAGCCATCTCTCCAGCCCCCTGTATACGTTCTCTTCTTACTGTTTCCTGTTTTATTTCTCTAAGACTCTCAAATAAGCCTAAGTTAGGATCCTGGCCCTATTATGTTCTGTGCCCTTCGTAAGCATTGGTACCGTGGTTCCTTCTTCTGTAAAATGTTGGCCATGGATACCACTGCTCTCTGGCACACGTGGCCATAGCTGTTGCCCTCTTGAGCTGTACGTAGCTGCCATAACCCACAGGAAAACTGCATAGAATGGACTTGTTAACCTACCATTATGGGGGAAGGGCTCATGAGGTCCTGGCCCTCCTCAAGAATTTGTAGACAGCTGACAGTTGTTTGGGGAGAGGCTCATGAGGCCCCACCCCTCCCCAAGGTTTATGGATAGTTGATGGTTGCTGGGAGAGAGGACTTTTTTCTTCAGCGGTATGGCTGCCCATAAGTTGCCCTGTTCCTATTAGTAAACCCAGTAAAGCCCAGTGACGCACCAAGCGAGCATTGGATGGAGTCATTTGTGTCTGGTTGGGACTCTCAGTGGGGTGAGGAGACATTCGTTCATCTCAGGAAAATTTCACACAGTACGAAGTGCCTGGGTTACTGTGAGGACGAAGGTAAGATTCGCTCCTCAGAGGGGCTGAGAGGCAGAAGCGTGACACAGCTCAGGGGCCCCTTTTATTCTTCGTTTACATGGTGACACCTGCCCTGTGTGCAGAATGGGCCGGAAGGGATATGAAAGAGGACATTGCCAAGTACTGTCCACTCATCCACATACTTTTAACTGCTTATTTCATACCGGGAACTTCAAAGTACACTGGAAGGCAGGGAATTTAGACACTCTTCCCCAAGTACCTGGAATAGCACTGCAGGGACAAGACCTGTGCCAAGCTAACCACACAACAATGCAAAACAGCTTCCAGTAACGACACGGGCACAAAAGGACATCAGCACGAGCAGAGCGTGTGATGCTAACATCCCTTCTTTTTTATTTTTATTTTATGTGTACGAGTTGTATTGCCTGCATGTATGTAAGTGCACCTGTGTCATACAGTACCCATGGAGACCAGAAGAGGGCACTGGTTCCCCTGGAACTGGAGTTATGGATGGTTGTTGGCCACCTTGTGGGTGCTGGGAATTGAACCCAGGTCCTCTGCAAGAGCAGCCAATGCTCTTAGCCACCGAGCCATCTCTCCAGCCCCATGATAGCCATTCTTAATAGCTGTCCTAGTAGGACAGGTGAAGACTGTGGTACTCATGTGGGATTTGGTGGAGGCGACTGGTACTAGCCAGACTTTGGAATAGTTAGAAACGGTTAACAAAGAGGGGCGGGGTATTGCTGTGGAAGGGAAGAAGGTGCACATGTCTGTAGGCATCAATGACTGAGCTACACAGGCACATCTACAGAACTAGCTTTCTTCCCTCCCCTCCCCTCCCCTCTTCTTCCCTTCCTTCTTCCCTCCTTTGTTCCTTGTGTGTACAGGGGCTGTGGAAGGGAAGGGAAGACACATGTCTGTAGTGTAGGCATCAATGACTGAGCTACACAGGCACATCTACAGAACTAGCTTTCTTCCCTCCCCTCCCCTCCCCTCTTCTTCCCTTCCTTCTTCCCTCCTTTGTTCCTTGTGTGTACAGGCCTGTGCATGAAACGTGTGTGATATCAGAGGATAATCTCAGGTGTCCACCCTCACCCCTTCTACCTTGAGACAGGGTCTCATTGCTGTGGGATGTGCCAGGCTAGCTGGCCTGTGAGCTTCCCAGGGATCCTCCTGTCTCTGCCAGCCATCTCACCATGGGAGCACTGAGATTACAGGTGCATACTACCACGTCCAGGTTTATATGGGTGCTGGACACCTGAACTTGGGTCCTTGTGCTTGCATGGCAAGAAACCATCTGCTGCCCCATCTCCTCAGCCCAAGTTGGCAGGATTTCCTGCTGACTGCTTGGACGACTGGACTGTATAGGCTATAAAAATGCTGTAATCCAGAGAGAGAAAGGGTAAATAAAGGACATTTTCATCTTTAGACTTCATCTAGCTCATACTGTGCCGAAGGGCAAGTGGCTGTCATAGGGTGATATTAGGAGACCTGGGCTTTGGATCCTACGGCAGTTACTTTGGGGCACCTCACAGCCTGCAGTCAGCTTTCACGTGCATCCGAGTGTTTGCCAGTTTACTTGGATTCTCCATTTTCTTCCCACACTAACCCCAAAGATAAACTAAGAGCTGGCAGATACTTTTGAGATTCGGACCTGGATGATAAATGGGTCAAGACAAAAACTGCTGATGTCCAGGTCCAAGCTGCACACACGGTCTGCTGAGTACCGAGATCATGGTGGAAGTGGGCTACTCAGCCGCTCTGTGCACACACTCATGCCATGTTGCGTCTGCTCTCTGTCTATTCAGAGCTTTGGTTGTACCCATTCACCTGAACTTTTCTCTCTGGCTGCCGTTGATAATCCCACACTGCTAGCCCGTGACTAGCAGAAGTGAGCAGACAGAAGTGCCCTGAACCCAAGGCCAGTAGGTTCTCTATTTTGGTGGAAAGACTCTTGAACTTGAAATTCAGTAGCTTGAACTTGAACCCTGTTTTCAATATTTTTCCAGCTGAGTGCCTTTGGGAATGTATTTTTTCTTGTGGAAGCGTTTATTTGGCTATAAAAGGCTGATGGTACTAGCCACTGACCTGTCACCTTATTGTGATAATTATCAAGTGCTGCTGTGGCATTTTACAGTTTAAAAGTTTTTGTACACCAATAGTTTCACTTACTTCTAACCATTAGCCCATGGTTTGTTTGCAGTGGGCATTATCACCATTTTTTAGACTTTTATTTTTAAGTGTGTGTGTGTGTGTGTGTGTGTGTGTGTGTGTGTGTGAGTGTGTGGTGTGTGTGTGTGTGTGGTGTGCAGTGCCCACAGACAGAAGAGAGAGTCAGATCCCCTCTAACTGGCATTACAGGCTGTTGTGAGTACCCAATCTGGGTGCTAGGAACTAAACTGAGATCCTCCTGCAGGGGCCACACACTCTCCATCACTGGTCATCTCTCCAGTCCCATTATCACCATTTTATATCTAAAGAGGCCTTGGTGTGAAGGAAGGAGAAGCTGTGGCTGACTGAGGCTATTACTGCACGGAACTGGACCCACAGCCTTGGTCCGCTGACCCCGTACTTTACATCCCATAGTAATCTTTGGTGTCCTTGACAAGAGCTGAAGCAGCAAAAAGTGGACTTGGATGCCCCACGAGTGTCCTTTGGGTAGATTTCATGACACGATGGCATTTTAGGAACATTTGGTACTTACCGAATAATAACCAGTTCAATTTCATGGCCATTGGGCGTGAGACCTTGACCTGGTCTCGGACCACTTTCCTGGTAACTATCACACTGGGAATTGAGGTTTCCATAAAGTAGCCCCTAAAAATGTTCAGTCTTTGAATGGAGTTGTAAATCCACTGTTTCCACCATGGTAGGTGAGATCCCAGTGGGAAGTTGGTACATCAGGCATCTGAGCAGAGTGAAGAAGCTTCAGTGTCCGGATGCTTGCACAAGGAGCCCGCCCAGCTGTACCTGACACCACGTGGATGCGGATGAACTCAGCATCTAGGGACACAGATGCTTGCACAAGGAGCCCGCCCAGCTGTACCTGACACCACGTGGATGAGGTTGAACGCAGCAGCCAGGGACTCGGTCCACTCCTCCACAAAGCTGAAGAAGAGTCGGTCGACGTGGAAGGGGGTCCAGCAGATGGCAAACACAAGGACCAGCACAACTGGAAAAGGGAGAGAGAAGATGTACGGCAGCGTGAACAAGGGAGCAGATTGTGGCTCCTGTGCCCAGAGATGCTAGCCACCCCCTTGTGTGTGCACCAAACACAACACCCATGCTTTCCCAAGCAAAAGAAAACAAACACAAAGTGTGGGCCTTACACAGCATCTTGGTGACTGACTTTCGGGAGGGTCTGTGAATGTTCGAAGTCATTTCATCTGCCTCAAGGGATTCATCTCTCTTCAGCTGAAAGAGAAGTGGAGACGAGCTGAGGAAGGAATGGATGCTTTCCCCAGGAGACCGCTGACTCTGGAGGCATAAACACCAGCACTTAAATATATAAAAAATGAAAAACTTGGTTATTGGAGGTAGACTGTTTTCAGTAAGCAGTTCTGTGCAACTCGAGCTCTGTAGCACATTAATAAGCATTTCATGCAAAGTGGTAAATCCTTAACAAAAATGCTAGCCAGCATTTTCCACATGCTTATTGATTCATTTAATTTTTACTAGACATCTTATGAGGGTGAAGACCCTGTATCATGTGAGGGGTGGGTGCCAGAAAACAGAAACAGACATGATTTCATGAAAGTTCATCTTCAGTGTGGGACCTCTCAGAATCCTGAATGTGCTGATAAGCAGTGCGAGTCTTTGAGGGACATGGCGTACGCTCTCTCCGTTTTCCACATTCATATCTCCTGTGCCCATCTCGCTGGAAAGGAGGAGAGTCTTTCCTTGACTGGATAATACGTTCCCACGCCCCTCCCTGGCAATTGCCGTGTACCACGGTGACAAGCATAATTAAGGGCATATGGGTTTTCTAAGATTATTGAGAAAAAGTCTTTCTACATTTCAGTTTTGAGATATATTTATGCTAATTGGAATACGTGGTGATGTACTGTAATGTTTGGATACGTGGAATACCAACATGATCTTACATGCAATCTTTCCTACTCCATTTAAACCCGACTTTCTCCTGAAAACACTGCAAGCATAATTAAGGGCATATGGGTTTTCTAAGATTATTGAGAAAAAGTCTTTCTACATTTCAGTTTTGAGATATATTTATGCTAATTGGAATACGTGGTGATGTATTGTAATGTTTGGATATGTGGAATACCAACATGATCTTACATGCAATCTTTCCTACCCCATTTAAACCCGACTTTCTCCTGAAAATACTGGTGGCCACTTTACCATCCTCGTCTTCTTCGAATTCCATAAGCGACAAAGAGCTGTATTGTCCATCTGGTTCTGAACGTTCCCTCCTTTTAATCTGCTTGTGGGATTGTGGGGTGTTGAGAGAGATGAAGGAAACTCCAACGAGCTGCGATAAACTTGCATGTCTAGAAGTCAGTCCAGTGGCTGCTGTCCCCCAGCACTTACCCAGACTCCTCCTCACATTCCGTCATCAGCATAGCTGGTGTGTTTGTTGCTCTGATAAAATGGCATCGAGGAGCAACTTACAGGAGGAAGGATCCTTCATGGAGGGAAGGCGGGGGCGGGGGCCAGGGGTGTGAGGCAGGTGGTCACACATCAAGGTCAGAAGGCAGAGATGAAGGCTGGTGCTCAGCTCCCCTTCCCACTCTGGGACCCCAGCCCATGGGATGTGGCTGCAACACTCAGGGTGGGTCTTCCCACCTCAGCTAATCCTCTCTGGAGATGCCCTCGTGGATAAGCCCAGAGGCGTCTTCTAGTTCATTCTAAACCCAATCCAGTTGACAGTGAAGACTGGCCTTCCCAGCAGGGTCAGCCCCAGCTCCAGCTCC